GTTGCATCGTGGGCTCGGGTGCGGGGCCGTGTCTTGCTCTGGGGTTCTCGCTCCGGCTGCCCGCCCCTGGGCTGGGCTCGGCCCGGCCCCTCTGCCCGCCCAGACCTCCCCTGTCCAGTGCGGCAGGGCCCGTGATGGGCTCCGAGAGATCCCTGCCATCCCCCACCCTTCCTCATCCTCGCAGGGGAGTGGGTGAAGCAGGGCAGGTTGCATCTGCCCTGACCCAGCTGTCGGCCTCCAGCTGCCCGTGGTCACGCCGATGTGGGGTCAGAGTTGTTCGCGTGTGATGCTGAGATGACTGTGGGTTCTAGATAAGGAGCTTCGGCAAACCGAGCCGCTCGTTCGCTTTCTGTCTGCACGGTGGGGGTTTGAGAAAGAAGAAGAGGGGTGGAGACTTGGCGTAGGTGTGTTTGAAGGAGCAGAGAGCAGTGTATATGTACATTTAGGGATCTGTTAGCTGGAAGAGAGTCACGGCATGGGGATGTGCTATGTATGTGATGTGGAAGAAAGGGGGGTGCCTTTCCCAGCGTGAACCATCACTGGTGCCCCAGAGCCTCCAGTGACAGGCAGTTAAGCCAAGCATTTTCCTGGCCTTCTGTCCATCCGTGTTTCCTGGCCATGCCTACTTCAGCACGTCAAAGATTTCCCCATTAATGTGTTTTCATAGGAATAGATTTGTATTTAACAGCTACCGTGCAAGGTTTTCTGTCTGACTTAAATAGCACGCTGATAGTCGATATTCTTTATATCGTATGAAAGGTGCACTTAAGGATATCCGCCTCTTTTTGTGCTCCTGACACAGAATATAGTCCGGAAGAGATGCTGTCAGTAGGGTTGGGTGGCATAACAGTTTAAAATAAGTTACTTTGTGTAAGAAAGGCCAAAAAATTCTTCAATGAATCCTTGCCATCTGTCATGGCATTTCTGGAGGCAAATAGAAGATAAAAGTTAGGAACAGCCTTCACACTCTAAAATTTTTTGCTAGACTTTAGCCTCGTATCAACTGAAACTGATAAAATAATTGGGCTTACACGCCGTAAGAATGGGTGCCGCAAAGAATTGTTTCCAGAGCTAGTTCACGAGCACTTGATTTAGCAGTAAGTTATTTAAGTAGGTGTACGCATGAGTTGCTTTCCCACCTTTTATTTCCTGCCCTACTTAGACTTTTTCTCTGCAGCTCAGTGTAGTGACTTAGAAACTTAGATGGCTTAATCATCTCCGGTGTGCTTCTTTCCTTGAGGAAAGAGTAAGCAATTTTTTGGTGATAGGAACAAACGTAAAACAGTAGGAGGCATTAACAGAAGGAGAAGAGGCCTGATATGCTTCAAATGGGATAATTAGCTGGCTGAGAGCAGTGCGTTGACTGGGAGAGATGGGGGGTGTTGATGAGAAATGCCTAGCAGTGGCAGTTGGCTGGGTGTGTCTGCGGCGATCCCTGGGGTGCGTGGAGGGGGAGAACTTTGGGATTTGAAAGCTAACTGGGCCTTTTGAGGGGAAATCAACCTGTGGGAAGCTTACATGTGGTTGCAAAACACTGTTCTGTGTGTTCTTTCCTCAGCGTTGGGCAGCGTGTTCAAGATCCTCATGTCCGTTTACCAAAAAGGCGAAGAACAGGTATTATATGTTACAGAATATTTAATACGCTTGATTATTTTTACCTTTCATAGGAAACTCTAGCTGTTCTGCTTAAGCGTTGTTACTGAAAGTGCGGCTTTTCAAGCCATTCTTTCCCTGTGGCCATCTGTGGCCTGGCCCTATATACGATGTCTTTGACCATGGCAAGACACAATGCTTTTACTGCCAGCAGGAGAGATCCCAGGTCTCTCTGGCCGTGAGCCCATGCGTGTCAAACAGAAGGAGTATTTTAAATCAAAGCTGCGTGCTCCCTCCTGATCTCTGTTTGTGATGTACCTCAGTCAGTTCAAAATACCTGTATGTCATGAGAAATCACCCAGAACCTGGGAGGTGAAAGAAAGTAACTTTAGACTGATGGCAGGCAGAGAAAAACAGTATTTCTATGAGCTATTGAGTCTGGTTTGGGGGGGAAAGAAGTCTGAGTTGGAAACGGATGACTCAGTTTAGTTTCAATCTGAAAATTTTGGCATGAGCTTTAGGTGGGATTGAGATGGGCTTTAATGCAAGTAGAAAGTCCAGTCTCCTTTTAAATCACGTTCTTATATGGCCTGTCTTTGTTTCCTAGATTACTCTGTCTCTGAGCACAACGAGACAGTTAAAGTTTCTGCTGTGGCTACATTGCCAGCCAAGGCAAGAAGTGAAGGCCAGAAGGCTTCAGACAGCTATGCCGCTCCAATCGCGGAGTCTGTGGAAAAGGTTAGTAAGGATTTTGAGAGCAGGTAGAATCTGTGCAAGATGAAAGAGGAAGCGGCTCGCCCTAATGCACCTTGAAGTTGGGCCTGCTCTGAGCCTGTGCAGCAGCAGGGGGTTCTTTTCCATGCATAGCAGGCGGCCCTTGTGCCTTACTCACGTTTCTGTACTCTGCTCTAGCGCTTGCAGCTCTGGAAGGAGATAAACGTTTGTTGTCTTCCGGCTGCTTTACAATTGTTCAAGTTCATAGTTTCAGTCTGTTTGTAAACTGTTCCTCTCTTTCTCAAGCTTCTAGTTCAGGAGTCCAAATACGTTACAGTACAAGAAAAACTGCATGCTTCCTCTGGATAAATCTCTTTCTGATTGGTTTGTTATCCACCAGTCCAGGAGAGGATTGCTGTAGGACTTTGGCTCTGTAAAAACGAGTCATGAACTGCCCGACTACTACATAGTTTGCTTCAAAGGTGTAGTGTTATTTTTCTTATTGCCCCATAAGATAAGAGGAATAAGAAACGGTCATGCTCCTAATTACTAATTCCCGAGAGAGTTGTTAACTCTTATTTGTACTAAATACATTTTTCAAGGGTTAAACGGTCACACTTCAGAATGTTTAGGAGCTGTCTGGGGAGACCTCAGCAATAAGCTTGTATTGTTTTAATTACTGCACGTGTGAGAGCCTGTATTAAAGAAATTAAAGTGTACTTGTCAGAGGTCCCGCAAAGATTTGCGTTCTGCTACAATCTGAACCAGCACATCGTGGGCACCAAGTCGTAATAGAGCTGACTAAATTTCAGAAAGTCTGTTTGCTTGGATTCACCTTCAGTTTATACTCACGTCTGTGCTGCTTTTGTTTTTATTTCAGTCTCAGTCCACTCCTCACGCTTTGCATAACAGACCAGCGGATTCTGTGCTCTGCACTGGTAAGGCTGATGTCAAGTTATTAACTCATTTCTTTTTCACCCTGCCTTGTATGCTGTGCAGCTCTACCCCTGGGCTTATGTATGGGTTATTGCAGGCACGATATCTAGGCAGCATCTAGGAAAGCCTGAGTGTGAACTCTGTTTCTTCCCTGCATCCTTGTGTTGCTTCTGGATTGGGGCCGGCTGTTTATCTGGTTCATCTCGGTACAAGAGCTGCCTTGATGCCGTCCTTCCATTCTGATATGTCTGCTGTTAGCTTGCCAGAAGTGTTTTTCATGCTCACTTTAGGTAGCAGATAACCCTTTTTTGCTGCAGGTTAAGGCTGGCAATACCTTGTGTGTACAACTTTCTGTAGGTGCCAATAAGAAAATCTGGAAATATCCTAAAGTAACATAGCAAAAAATCTTACAATGTAAGAGAGAAAATTAAAATAATTTCTATTTGGTGAAGCTCTTTCCGTAAACGCATTAAAAACTCTTCCATTTTCTGTTGTAGTTACTGATGGCTTATGCTCTTCTCTCATAGATAAAATGCCTTGTGGAACCAGTACCTGCCTGAATAGAGAAACACTATTCCTTTCACAAGAGACAGTTCCATATCTGAGGTAAAAATCCTTGTTTTCTTTGACTTCTCCTCTGAAAGGTTTGCTGTCTTTCATTATTGAGCTTCCTCTGTGTTGCCTAACATTTGTGTTTGTATCCGCACAGCAATTATTTTTCTGAGGTATCCTGGAATGCCTCCAGGCTGCTGCACTAAGGGAGGTCTCCAGCTGCTTTCCCTCTCACCCCAACCAATTTCAAACCTTTTCTTTAAATCCAGGTAGTTCATAGACACAGCAGACTAGGAAATATTAACGGTCTGTGGTAGACCTTTAAGACACAGCATGTGCCTCTGAGCGCAGTTGTGACGTGCAGATCGAACAACAGTGTATATTCAAGGCAGTTGTTGTGCTTTTCACTTTTGCTTCTCCGTACTTTCCCATCAGCCAGCTGAAGACAACAGGTCTTCACCTGCAAGTCGTAAACATCCCGTGTCTGTCCCCATCGGCAGCGTCCATCCCTTACAAAAGAGCTGGTGGCGGAGCTTGAATCGGGAGGTGCAGGTTGGAATGTTCTCTTGATAACCGTTTCTCTTGCAATTGATGTTTTTAGCACAAGCGAGAACAAGAAGCAGTACATCAGACCTGTTCTGGACTGTGTCTTAACCCCAAGGCCGCCCATTAAGGAGTGCGCTGTGCCAGGATCCATAACTTTTGAAGTCAGCAAAGCAGTGCAGCTTTCCTGTGCTGCTAAAGAGGTACGCTGGGTGAGAAAGGGGTCTTTTGCAATGAAACAACCTAGCAGTTGTACCAAAACTGTGAATGCCGACGTGGCACTTTGTAGCAGCACGGTGGGTGTAGTTGATGAAGTTGAAGGAAGGCTTCTGAAAAATCAGCGTATAGCATTTTATTTGCCTTTATGGGCATCGGGTCTTGGAACAGAGCAGTGCTTTCTTGCCAGAACATTGAATTTTAAACCATTTTCATGGAAATGGTGTACCAGGGGAGGACCCTCCAGCCAGTTTCACTTGTAAGTGGAGCTGTACTGCCTTGTCACTAAGTGTATGTGTGTGGTGGCGTTGCTTCACTATGTTGTCCTTAACCCAGCTCAACTACAGTCTTTACACAGCAACTTCAAAAAGGGTGACGTAGGCAAAAAACCCACCCAGTTGCTGATAATCCTTCCAGGACTATGAGGGGTCACTGTCCTTTCCTTCCAATATCTGAAACAACTGTGGTAAAATTCCTGATAAGCCTAGCTTATGTGGGAGAAGGACTCGCACCGAAGTACTGGAGAAGCAGGGCATGGCGAGCGGTGGAGCGTGATTAGGATACCCAGGGGATTCCTAGCACTCAGTCGTTATGTGTATTGACAGGAATGCATATTGGCCTGAATCATTATGCAGAGGTGCGGCCCACAGCTGAAGGGACGAGGCCCCCATCTGAGGAAACCATTGGAGAATGAATTTTGAGGTTTATAGTGGGACACAAGTTGCTAAAGCAAGGCTAACACAAAGTGAAGGTGTGGGAAAAAGTAAATTTGAACAATGTGCCGGTATTTGGGGAACAGCCTGTGCAGTCTGCACTGTAGCCAGATTACAAATGCTTGCGTCATATGCAGTGGTTCTAAGCTGTTCTTGTTTTTCCCTCCCTTCTGCTAGGATGGTCAGCAGGTTGAAGAGGAGAATCACAAACAGTTACAGGAGCTGGGGAAGGAAAACGATCCTGGAAGATGCCCTACTCTGCATACAACAAGCTTCCCCAAGTATGTATAGGAAAAATAAGCATTAACTTTTTGGTGGTAGCTTTGTAGCTGTTGTACATGTGGAGGAAAATTAATCCTACTCTGGGGTTTCTAGGCAATGTCCTGGGGCAGGTGTTGGAGCAAACATGTTTTAAATAACTGACACCGTCCTTCAGCTCCCTGCAATGAAACATGCATCCTCTGAATGTATGTTCTAAAGGTGAAGATCCCTTTCTTGATACGGACACGCTTATCTTTCTGATCCTCCTTTCTTGGCTCTGTGTTAAGAAAGGTAGTGTCCAGTTCTAGTGCTGGCAGTGTAGCTTCCAGTGTAAAAATCCACAGTGCTGGTGGTTCTGTAGCACCATGAAAAAGAACTTATCTTTCTCTTGTTTGCAATCGATGAGTTTTTCCTTGGTCAGGAATCCTGTTTTATCTGAGACTGTGAAACTTAAGGTAAACACAGGGAATGCCAGTTTTCTCTGTTCCTTTCTGCCTCCCCAGTCCTCACACAAATCAGAGTTTGCTCTTTGCAGTACACCAAGCTGACCAAATCCTACTCGTGTGTAGAATTCCAGTTCCTAAAGCAACCTGCAACGGGGAACTTGTGTGTAATTTTGATTCCTATATTACCAGTGATGAGTGTATCTGAGATATTACAACTGTGTCAGGAGATTGCACAAAGCTAACGACCAGTGAAAAAAAGACAAAAATAGTAGCAGCCATGATCTTAGTGGAATAATTACACTTTACACTTTAATTACACTGTAGTACATACTACACTTAGTGCAGAATGGGCCCAATCCTGGTAAAATAGTATTGCTGAGGTGGTGCTGGAGTGCCACCAGGCTTTTATACACTGTAAGATGGTACAAAATGCCATGCTTTCTTGCATTTTCCTTTAAATGCTGTGAAACGGGGGTTGTTACCAAGGTGTAGAAAGACCCCAATCTCTGCTCAGTGGTTCACAGTGAGAAAGCCTGTGAACACACGACCTGAGAACAGCGTTACCACATTTAAACATCCTGGTGCATGAAAATGATAATGGAAAACAGTATCTTGTGTAGTTGTAAGTGCATTTTAGGGTGGGTCAAGACTCTACTTTTAGCATCTAATCTCCCAGGCGTTGATTATTGTGGTTTGGCTCGTATCTCCGAGCAGACCTGGAGTGGGTGAAACAGATTCCTTTCAGATGAAGCTAAACCAGAGAGTGTTCCCATGGGATGTGTCTAGTGTATTCTCCCTGTCAGCGTAATCCTTAATAAATGGATTTAAAAGCTTTGGTGGAGGATGGTTGTAGTGGATGCTGTCTTGTCCCAGAAAATAAAGTGGCCTCCTGCCATTAATCCAGATACTTGTGGGGTTGTGCAAAGAATACCTTTTTCTTTTGAAAGGAAAACACCACCCACCCACCCACACCATTTGCTGGTGAAAGGTAAGGGAATCGGATTTCATGATTGATTAGTCTTTCTTGAGGAGACAGAAAATTTGATTCCTCTGTCTTCAGTATGCCAAGTTGAAAGTAGCTGAGCTTCTGAATGTGAACTGCCTCCTTGTGGGAATGCCCTTTGCATTTTGCCATGAAACCAGAGCAGGAGACAGGATGTTGTGGTCAGCGATTAAATAGCCTGATCTTCACATATTCCTGTTGCTTTAACTGTGGCTTCCAACTCTCATGTCGACAGTCGTGTGCAAATAAACTGGATCCTTTCCAGTGAATCGGTATGCACTGATAAATGCCATACATATAAAAAATGTCCTCCTTCTCTGTTTTTTTTCTCCCCAAAGTGTTCAGTCCTGCTACCTAGAACCAGTGATGACTGTGACTCACCTGGAAGATCAAAAATACTCAGATTTCTATCCGTGTATGACACTAAGGACCAGTGAGTATCCCTGTGTTTCCCATCTGTTCCACTTTGTAGGTAGACTTCAAATAAAAACAGGGCATTTCCTTAAGTCTAGAAGGTATAGATTATCCTAAAAAGATTTGTCAGTGCTATAACGTGTCATTAATCTGTGTCTGTTTATAAGGAACTCTAAATCAGCCAGCACGTTTATATTTGCCAGCTCTGAGAATGAAGTGAACAGTCTCTGGAAAACAAGGGGAGAGGAAAAGGGGAACACACCTGCCACCCTGCCCAAACCATAGCTAGTTATTGGGTAAAACGGCTGTAGGGGTTTTTGCTGAAGTGGAAAAGTTTGTTTAAAATCACACCGGAGAGCCGTTAGCGTACCAGCGATGGCTCTTTGCCCTAGCTGAGGGCGACGCATTACTGTGCGCTCTCAGGTGCCCCTTCCTGACCTCAGAGTCGCGGTTGTTCCTGTAACCCCTTTTTAATGCTAGACATGACTAGTTCTGTGATAGAGCTTCGAAAAGAGGTGAGCTGATTGGGCAGTACCACTGTTGATAGCGAGTCAGCTTCCCTTGTAGATCCTCTTTGGCACGTTGGAGGTGCGTAACTGCAGAAGGTGACCTTAGCTGGCTTCTGCAGGGTGGGCTAGTTAAACTGGTTTGCTGGCAAGCTGTTTTCTTCTGTACCAGCAGCGTGTTATAACACCACGTGCTCAGGGGTACACATTTAATGTTGTCCCAGTCATCTTTTTTTCCCCAACCTGTTCATTACTTAAATAATTTTCCATAAATACGTCTTTTTACATATCCATGACTTTATCATACAATCAGGTGGGTTTTGAGATTATTTCTGAGCAGGTGCTAGAATGTGGGGAAAGTTTGTTTTGTCATGGAAAATGACAACCTTCTGAGCCTGGAGGAGCATCTGGTTTTGCAAAAATCACATGTTTAGTCAAGTGTGCAATCTAGGATTTAAAACTTGATAAATACCCCGTTTCAGCTCTCGTACGCTTGCACGTGATATTAAAAGTTCAAACTGTTTGCCAGAGTTTAAACTGCCTAAACCACACAGTCATCATTGAAGGGGTTTTTTGAATTTTTCGCTCAGTAACATCTGATGGTAACTGAAAGTTGACCTCACGTTACTGTTTTCTGTGCAGGTATCACATACGCGAACGGTAACAGCCCGCAGTGGCCTCAGAGTGGTGATAAGATCAGGTAGAGTCTCTTTTAATCGTGGTTCTTATTTCTTTTGGTTCTGTGTGCATGTCTCTCTCCGCCTCCAGTAGTGTCCAGAAGAAGACAAATCACATTTGTGATCTCAGTGCTGGGGAAGAGGAGTAGCTAGCCTGTGGCTCTGGAAGGCAACTCGCCAGCCAGTTGCCTCTCCGATGCAGCTCCTGGGCTAGAGCCGTGCTGTGTGACAAGCAGGTGGTGCTGCTGTGGTGTTTGAGCCTTTTGCTGTGGGGAGGAAGGCAGTGAGGGTGACAGTGGTGGCTGTACCAGCTTGTCCTTGGATTGTAGGATCCAATTTGGCTTGTGAGTGTCTCTCTGCCAAACCACTCGTGAGCTGACCTGTCATTTCTTTCACATTGAAACTAGAATCCTGAGCCTAAGGATTAGAGAGCTTGTGAAGCCTGGTGGGACTGAGGCAGGTTGTGACTTACAGGATGCCGTGGGTTTGAATGCGAGACCGAGGAGGAAGCCTGCAGTTGGCTTGTCCGCCTGCTTGAATTTCCAGCAGGCTCCTTTGTGTTGGCTGGCTGAGTTGGGATGGCTTTGTGGGGTGAGGGGAACAGGATTTTAATTGCAGCTCCGGGGACCGGTTCTGCGTGGCAGTCTGCTGCCGTCACGTACCCTTAAATGAGGGAGGAGAAAGGGTAGAGGGGAGCAGAGAAAGACACAGCTGTGGCAGTCCTGTTTTTCAGCTGACTGTCCCTGTCCTCCCTACTTTAAGTGCCAGCACTGTATTTAGCTGTGCAGCACCGTTGCTGTGCTTAAATCCTCACTGGTTCCCCTAAACTCCAGGGGGGAGAAGAAACAAAATAACAGAGAATACGGTGGGTTCAGGTAAAAGGAACATTTTCTTGCCCTTGTTTTTTTCAGAGTTAGCTACTAACCGAAGTAATTTGACGAGGCTTGTGAAATCTTTAAAGCACAGTGAGCGTAGGATACCATGTTGTAGGCCTTCCTCCCGAAAAAGGGGATCTTTGACAATGCAGATTCTTCCTTCTGAAGAAGGGACGTATATATGGACAACTTTAATGTCTGTGGATTTGGTTGCTCTTCACTCTGCGTGGTTTTAATGACAGTCCTCTCCAGATGGGGGTAGTCACTCTCTTGACTAGCCTATAGAAGGCAAGTAAACATCCCGTAGCTGTCCCATTTTTAACTGGGCGTGCTGGTCTTAGTTTCCCTAAGTTAACTGGCTTTGGGTGCAGATGTTCACGTTACACCTTGCAGTCGTATTTATCACCGGCAGGCCACAGAGCACTTCACAGAGGAAGTGCCGGTTGCCTTCTCTGTTTTCCAAATAATGAAACTGAAGCAAAAGGAGTCTTGCACACGTAGGTGAAAGTTTGCAAAGCTCCCAGCTCTTCATTCTATCCCATCTTGCTGCTGTGGAAGAACGGTGCTGAAAGCCGAGGCGGTGTTGTCCCGTTGTGTGAGCACGCAATGGAGGTTCTAGTCAGAATCAGCCTTGAAAAAGCATTTCTTACCCAGAAGGTGAACTCTTAAGGATTTCATGGGCAGTATGGATATGCAGCTCACCTCCCTCTTTCCTCACAGGTACTACACACCAGTAGGAAATCTTTATGAACAGGGAAAGCCAGTGAAGCAAGCCACTGCAGGGGTAAGCCTATTTGTTATTTCACTTTGTAGGAAAATACAGCTGTTTGTAATCAGAAATTTTTATACTCTTCACTTGCACATATTGTTGAGTAAGTAATGTATTTGCCCTGGGGGTTTTTCCCAGGGAAGGTGGGAGCATTATTTGATGAGTAGCGCTATCACAAAGTTTCCTGCTGCCATTAATTTTGTTTCTGGACTATTATGAGCACACTCCACTCTACTGTTTATATTCTTCCCCTTTAATGTGTTGGGTATAGCTTCAAAATCTTTAGTGCACAGACTCAGTTGACCTGCAAAGCTGGACTGCAGCATCTTTAGTCTTGTCTTGATTTTTGAGATAGGAAGTACATCTCTCTGGCTTCCATCTCTCGTCAGGATTGAGATCAGAAGTAAAATTTTAATTGTGGAAATCAGAAATATTAGTCTCAACTTGATACCTACATGCGGAGGCTTTGCTGGGGTTCTTAATGCTACTCCAAGCCAAACTAACTTTCTGCCTCTCTTGCCTCCATTTGGTTTTGGGTGCACAGTTGGAATGTAGTCATCAATAAAAAATAACTTTGGAGTTTGCTGGCTGGATGTATGTACCAAAACCCTTCCAGTTTTATACTTGAGCAGGATTTTCCATGCTGTCCCCTAGAAAACAAATCTCTGCGTGCTTGCTAGCTTAATGTCCTTTTATCTACCAGGGACAGTATGGAGCTGGAATCCCTGAAGAAGTGTTGTTGCAATTGCGTTTGCCGCCTGTTCTGTCCGTAACTCCGCGTTTGCTGGCTGGATGTATGTACCAAAACCCTTCCAGTTTTATACTTGAGCAGGATTTTCCATGCTGTCCCCTAGAAAACAAATCTCTGCGTGCTTGCTAGCTTAATGTCCTTTTATCTACCAGGGACAGTATGGAGCTGGAATCCCTGAAGAAGTGTTGTTGCAATTGCGTTTGCCGCCTGTTCTGTCCGTAACTCCGCCTGTTGCCATGTTTTGGGAAGTATGGTTTTTCTCTCTCTGGGAGAAACTTGCTCCCAGAGGCTCTGCATAGTGTCTCATGTTCCAGAGGGAAGAGGAAAAGTGAATGTCTTACGGAAAGAGCCACTTGTTGCAGGAGTAGATGTTCGCAGCTGCTGTGCAGAGCGCAATCCCAAACCAAAGATTGCACCTTTGTAGGCACTGCAGGCCATTCTGGCAGGGTCTGAGCAGGAGTTCCAGGTTTGCAAAGAGATCGCTGGGGATGGCAGATGAAGCAGTTATGGTGAAATTAAAGGGAAACCCTGTTAGGAGGCTTCAGAAGCTGTTCCTGCTTCACACGGTGGTCGTTCAGGTAGATGGGCGGTCTTGTTCACACATGTGCATTACCCATTACATTACACAATTACTTCTATGTTTAGAAATCTCCTAAGTTACAGTACGTTATAAGTTGGTACAGAATGGACACATAAATCAACTTCACCCACTTCAATTGTTCATCTAGGTTACAGTACATTCTTTTAAACACAAATCTCCTAGCAAA